TACTTCGCTTGCTGGCGCGTATCTTTTCTTCCTATCGCAATGATATTAAAAATATAATATTTCCTATCGCAATGGTATTAAAAATATGAATATTCCCTATCGCAATGGTATTAAAAATATAAATATTCATGCCTATTCAAGGTATAAATTCTTGAATAGGCATGATTAGAGTGCCATGTAAAATGTAGCTGCAAATGTTAGTTGAAATAAAGTTCAGTATTTAATCTTACTCGGCTGCCAGGTTTCCTCTTCGGTATGGTTCTACGTCATCAACATTGTTTATGTAACACTGTATTCTATTAATCAACACTGTATTCTATTAATTTTGGATTATACAAAATGCTGCTGGGAATTTTAACTCCCTTACCCCTTTATACAGTTCAAAATGAATAAACCACTGGAAACCTAAACTGCAATAAAATGCATATTTTATATAAAGCCAATGCAATTATTAGGAATTCAGACTTTTGGTATTCTACTAATTTTGAAGTATCAAAGTCTAAACATCTGTTGTTCTCTTAATATTGTACGTTACTAAGTTATATTGCTGAATTCAAATTTCTGATGTTTTCTAAATTTCAGACGATACGCAAGTCAACTTCAGACTTTCCATTTATGTTTTTTTTTTTTTTTTTTGTTTTTTTGTTTTGTTGAACTATACAAAGCCTCTTTATATAGCAGAATTTATATAATTAATATATAAATACAACTAAGTGTAATATTAATGTATATAAAATAAATTATACAGTTATATAAATAAAACATTTTACATAGTTGAAATTATATATTAATTACATAAATTCAACTATATAAAATGTTTTATTTATATAACTGTATAATTTATGTAGTTGTATATAGATATAATTTCTAGAAAAAGAGTTGTTTGAGAAAGAATTAATTTTGTTATTTCCTTTGCATTCGTGTTTGGGAAAATGGGCAGCGAAATTAAGCTTTAATTATTTTTGTGTCCATATTTCGAAATAATTACCTTGCTTCATCGTGCATTGCCACCCAACCCCTAATGTTTTCAAATATGATTTAGAAACTTCTGATTCATAGTAGTAATGCAAAATGTATACACAAACAGGAAATTACTTTACAAAAGTAAAAAGAATATTAATGAAATACCCTAAGTTCTTTGATACGTATTTTGATATGTCCTTTGATTACGTATTATAATAAATAACATTTTGTATCTGTATGTAAGTGTTATGTTTATCCCTTCAGAAAAAGTACACTCCGCATAATTTTCCTTTCACGATTTTCAAGGGTCAAAATTAACAAGGAAAAAGGAGAAGGAATACGATATTTAAACCTGCCAGATTAAAAAGGAAATATTGTAGAAGTGGGGAGGGGCAAATTCAAGGGAAAACTGAAAACTTGGAAGAGAATGTTTGAAAGAAGAAGGAATTGCGGAGTAGCGTACCAATAACTTAACTTGAATAATACGATGCGTTCAGAAAAATGCATAACAAGTGTAAAAAGGGAAAAATTTCTGGGGTATTAAAAATAAAAAAGAACTGATCAAAATGAGTGTAGAATTTTCATATTTTCAGAAAATTCATGTCTCTCAAATCTATAACACTAATAACCGAACGTCTACCGGCAACAAAATCAGTAAGAAAGCGTATATTTCGATAATGAAATCTCTATAATAATCACCTCTCGAAGAAGACCAACTTTAGAAACAGTCCGCACTTCTGAAAACATGAGAATATAAGAAAATATCAGCACAATATGTGGGCACATGAAAAAAACCTGCTAAATAGCTACTATAACCAGAGGGCCATGTAAACTTTACATTTAACAAAGTAAATTTAATTTAAAAAAAAACACTACATAGAAGAATTACATGTCAAAAGTTAATAAAAAGTAACGTAAGGCATACTCTTGGATAAGAGGAAAAGTGAAGTCCATGCAAAAATCTGTCGAATCTCTAACTAACGATTGAGATGATTGCTTTTCTTTTTAAACCGTTTTCTTTCAAAACTTTTCTGACTGTTGCCATTTACCGTTAGGTTATACTACTAATTTATTTTTGTTTTACCTGCTTGTTAGGAGCAAAAATTATCTTGTTAGATCAAAGTACTACTTTAAGGGAAAATAATCGTTTTATCTAAACGACCTTTTCCTTACTATTAGTGGCCCACCAGCGGCCAAGCGGTAAAATTACCGAGCATTGATAATTCCGACCTGGATTCGATTCCAAGCTGGTTGCATAGGCGTTTTCGTGGTTTTTTTCCTATGTGAAATGCATATACTAGCCAGTTCCCTTAGAAAAAGTCTTCCATGAAAGCATCCCTTCCCTTAGGCAGATAGTCCTTGAGTGCTTTGCCATAATCAACTAAAACCCGACTATTATTCCACTGAAAAGATTTTCGACAACATATTTTAAGTTACCGCAAAAATATCATGTTTATAAACACCCAAGTCTTATCCGAGTGGATACATATTTGATGGGACGCATATTAGCAGCTTTATTAAAGGTTGTGCTGAAATATAGTTACATATTGTAACCGTAATAATATCTAACTCAGAAAAGAAATATGGTTATAAAAATAAAAAATAAATATTGTATAACCTCATTCAGTAATGAAATCATGTAATGTATATCCTCATTCAATAATGAAATATGATTATACATGTAACGTTAAAATGTATAATATATTTATATATTGTAACATCCCCCAAAACACGTCAAACACTGGCCAAAACTCAAATTAAAAAAAAAAAAAAAAAAAAAGACTAAATTAACATGTTCCATAGGGAATAATTACATACGTGAATGCCTATTGAAAATACTCTTTAAAGAAGAGGAGAAAATCCAAGATTAGCCCTTTCACAAGTTTCAAGAACCTCTTTCGATTTTCAAATCCGTATCTTAACCTAAATTCCCAAGCCTATTCAAAATTTCACATCCCATTACACTGGGACTGTTAAGATCTCCACGTGGAAAAGCAGACTGGCACGTATGGTAAAGACATAACAAGGTGACCCCCGTGGATCCAACCGAGAATCGGCAGCTCAACAAGACGCCACACTGATTGGAACCCCTGGCGCGAAAGGTTCTTTCTCTTTTTATACTGTTCCGGCACAGACAGGAAGCTTGGGATGAGAATCTTATTTTCTTTGCGACACAAACGAGTACGGGAGTGGCACCCTTGGGTGAGTGGACAAGGATTCCTTGATGATCAGCACGTTGCTGTTCAGCGACTCCAAACAAGCGAGAAATTGGACAGTCAATTGTTAACGTCCAGAACTTTCCGTGCAGGTGAATTTAAGCTCTGTTCTGAGCTCCAAGCGTTTTTGAATAAAATGATAATAGTAAGGAAAAGTTTATAAAAAGAACTCTCTATGCAGTTTCCTGCATATTTTCATTGAAATACTTTACTGAAAATATACATGACGTCCCAAAGTCGAAATTCTGTACAACACAGCGTTCTTCTCTGATTAAAAAGCTAGGTATTACAAAAGTGTTCGATATTATTTTGTTTCGTTTGAAAATACGCGTAGTGCTTTAGCTTTAAATGAAGCGGTAAAACTACTGGACACAAGTAATTCGATTTCGGTTCAAATTCCTGCGAACAGGGCTCGTTCCAGAGAAGTTTCAGCTGTTTTCCTCATATGTTCCTCAATAAGAGCCAGTTTTTTCACTTAAGATGTCCTCCGCTAAGGCCTTCTTACGTTTAAGCAGATATAGATATAGTGTGCTTTTCCATAAAATAAATAGTGCATTTCAATCTGTTACCTTCAACTACTTTAAACTCGCTGTCACAGAATAAGCGAATGGCAGGAAAATAAAATTTTCTTAGCGTTTGTATTTTTCCCATAAAAATTCAGGTCTAACACTTGAAAAAAAAAAAAAAAAAAAAAAAAAAAAAAAAAAAAATAAAATAAGAATAGATTTCAGCTTTACAGTTAAATGCTACAAAAAGCGTTTAGAATTAAAATGTCATAAAACATGAATAATGAGTAAAATGTTATAAAAATTATTTTTTATATACGTCTGTATTTTACGTTTTGTGTAATCGCGTAACACATAGCTTTAGAAACATTTTGTTAATTACCCCTCCCAAAAAAGCGACGTTTATAAGAGATATCAGTCGGGTATGTTATGAACTTACGTATTTAATTTAAACATTTAAGACATATTATTAAAAAATAAATCGAAAGTTTATATTACAAAGAAAGCGTATATTGCTTCTAAACCTCTCAGTTTATGCAGCAAAAACAAAGTGATTAAATACGAAATAAATTAAAGATCTTAAGTTTCTCTAAATGGCAGCACACTCAAAATTGGCTACATAAAAACGCGTGTGGAAGATAAATTAAAGATATTCTCCGGCGTAATGGCAACGCGTTGCTATTAAATTGCTCACTTCAGATGACATTAGAACAATCACAGCACAGTCATTAAATCTAAACGACAAATCAAACGCCTTAAGTTTTCGCAACTATTACCAACCGAGAAAGAGGACGGAATAAGAACTGTTGAATAAGAACTGTTAATGCTTGGAGCCATGGTAACGCCTGCTAAACAGCGCTGCTAAATTATTTCCGTTCTTCTCATCCATCAATTTTGCCACAACTTTCCTTCAGATGCTAAAGGAAAATAATATATTTCATCTCGAAGTAAAAATAATACTGAGCAGAATTAAATAATTAAAAATGGGTAGTTGAGAAAATTACCTGTGTCGGGAAAACCTACAAATATATCCCTAGTCAAAAGTTTAATTAGAGAGGTGTAATAAGGCGTGAGAGTTTAAAATTACATAAATAATTATTTAAAAGCATAATTCCAAAAAAGAACATACACACCCTACTCACATGTGAAATAAATAACTGTAGGAAAATACGCACATACTGTAATTTTTATTATATATTTCCGCCCATGACGCAATATTGATTATTATAATAATCACAATATACATAACAATAATCATATGTGTTCTAAGGAACTTTTTCAGAGAGAGAATCCGCAAATCAAGCTTCGATATCGTGGTTCGGTGGTGTAGGGGTATGATTCTCGCTTAGGGCGCGAGAGGTCCCGGGTTCAAATCCAGGCCGAACCCAGTTTTGGAAATCTCATTTATGAACATTTCGCATTTGCAAAGATTAATTTGAATTTTGTTCGTCATTTTCATAAACTTTTAATCATTTTTCTCGTTATAAGTTAACGAAAAAATTCACTTCAAAATTTAGTATTGATTTAACTAAATATTTTGCGTGCGCACATTTCATTTCTATAATTTCTTGATTTTTCCTTATGACAGAAGTATATTCTATTTTGCACTATTTATGTAATAATGAATTAATTTATTTTTATATTAATTCTTCAATTATTTTAAAATGATATATATATTTATATATCTGTGTATATGCTTATATGTATACCTGAAATATTGTGCTGGATTAAAAGAATTTGCACTATTCTGAAAATCTAGTGAAATTTGATTTTAATCAAATTAGGTACGAATACACACTTATAAACGAGAAAGTGATGTACCGCTTCAAAGTTATTTTTTAAGCGCATGATTTTCAGTAAAGTTCATAATGCAGAGCTGTCCAAGACCAACCTTATTATATATATCTGAAAACGATTTTAAGATGTGTATAGTCCTGTCTGACAATCGGATAGGTAGGGCAGCGTAACTCCATATTGGAAAGGAAGTAACCACTCCTGCTGCAAGGCACTTTTGAACTTCGAGATCGTCATCGGTGGGAATGGCGAGATGAAACCGCCCTCCTAACAGCATTCCAGACATGCTGCGTAATGTTGAGAAGATCTAGATGGCCATTCGATATTCCGAATATCTTTACCACCAACTAATCGTCGACCAGCTGAGCGCTATGTGGCAGACGTTGTTGTACATTAACTAGGAGCCCAGCTCGAATATGAAGTGCTCACCTGAAAAATTCAACATAGGACACAAAGATGTCTTATACCTCGTAGAAGGTAAGATCCTTTTGTCAAACTCATGCAGGAATGCGCGGTAGTCCAACTTAATGCCTCCCCAAACCATTATACCTCCACCGCCGTAATGATCATTTCCCTTCAAGAGGGAGAGATCGTACCGTGTTCTAAGTACTCTCCAGACACAGGTACGTCGAGAATCCAGGCTGAATCTCGACACATCTGTAAAAAACACGGTGTTACACCATGCTAAACGCCCTTCATTGTGTGCTGCAGAGATTGTGAACGTGAACAGCGGGTCTTTGGGCAGACAGCTCTGACTTCTGGAGTCGTCGGGCCACTATACACGGTGACGGTGAAGCTCGGGTTCCATTGGCCGCATACAGCCAACGTAAGAGCTGTAAAGTTGTAGGAGTCCCGTGTCGCCGCGCTGAAAGTGACAAACAACGGTCCTCTTTCGTAGTTGTGGATCTTGGTCTACTTATTCAAATTCTTCTCGATATAGATCTAAATTCCCGAAATCGATTTCACAAACTGCATACGACTTTGGCAATTTATTGGGATCTGTAGCCATATGCCCTGTGATTTTGCTGCTTCCAATCTATTGATTATTCTCCATCTATTCATTTCATCCATACTTTCGTGGCTACTCATTTCACCTGATACATCATAAAATTTACGCAACCTTTGCGAGAAACACAGCGAGTGCCATGAAGGAGTAGGAGCACACAAGTCGCCGAAAACAACCTTGTCCGCTTACAGCCCCGAAGACCAACACTTGTACACTTACGTATTCGACTCTTAATATTTACATAATTCTTCGATGTCATAATTATTGCCTTTGTTTCAATACTTCTCGTAAAAATAGTCATAATTTGCAAATTCTTTTAATTTTGCACACGCGCGTATAAAATATTAATGTGTATATTCATGTACGCTCATATTAATATTAAATTAAAAAGTATTTTTGCAGTCGGTATATTATAAATCATAGGCTACTAGAAACTTAGTTTAGTAGTAGAATATAATAATTTTGGCTTCATGCTTTGGGAGAGCAAAATCTTTTGAATAATTCGTACTCTCAGAGAGGAGCAACGTAATTTGGTGTTATCGGACATACGCTAAAGATCTTATGCTTCATCCTCAGGCAAAAAAAGTACTCTCGATGTTCCTGATCTTTATTTGTAAACACAAAGCATTGTGACTTACTGAATTCAGTATCATCTGTTCGAATCTCTTGCATTAAAAATATGAATAGCGGTTTGAGATGTAGTTTGCATTTAATATTTGTTTTAAAATTTAGCTGAAATCGAAAGTTCTACTTCTCGATTGCGAAAACTAATTATTACTCTACTTTGAGATAAAAATCATAGCATTGATATATGGAATTTTTGTTCAATAATCATCTGCTTGTGTAAATAGTTAACAAGCGCTTATTCAATAATCCTAAAACAAATTACTATGCTACTAACTGTATCTGAAAGTAATTTTGTTATGAAAGAAAGCTCAGGAAATGATCTGTGCTTTGGAAATTATTCATCTTCGCCGTTGTCTGGCATTTCAGCCAAACTTTAATCAGTTCAATAATTTCAAAATAGCTTAGCACGGCTCGATGGTCTAGGGGTATGATTCTCGCTTTGGGTGCGAGAGGTCCCGGGTTCAAATCCCGGTCGAGCCCATGCTTTTTTTAATTTTATCTCTGAGACTGAAATAGTTTTTTGGCTTTCATTTGGTTATTATAAAATACACTTCAAAGAGTACGAGGGATGTGTAAGGATGCCTTCGGGGAGTATTTTACTTTGTATACCTATGAAGATAGGTTTTAGAGCACGCGATAATAGAGTATTCATGCTTTATAAAGGGAGTCGTGGAGAAAAAATGAAAGCCATGGACTCTATATTTAATAAAAGGTCGTTCGGATATGCAATTAACAACGAGGCATATTTGCCTGAATGAAAATGGTAGTTACGTGAATTAGGGATGTTTTTAAAAAATGAAACGAAGATTTATATTATAGAGGACGTGTTTATTGCTTCTCAATCTCTGAAATTTTCAATCAGAAAGCAGGCTGATTAATTTTGAAATATAAGTCAAAGATCTTATATTTTGCAAAAGAGCAACACACTCATATCCGGCTATGTAAGAATGCGTTTGAAAAACAAATGAAAAGAATTTTATTTCGCTCCATGGCAATGCATAGCTATTTAATCGCTAATTTCAGCTAAAATTAGCTCGATGATAAGAGATTCATTAAATCTGAAAGTTAAATAAGAGACTCTATGTTTTGGTAAGTTGCTACACTGCGCGAATGTGCTGTGTGCAAATGCACTCGAATGTTGAATGGAAGCCGTTATGTTTCCTGCAGTAGTAGTAGCGGTTGTTAAACGGCGACGCTAAAGTAGTAGCGGTTGTTAAACGGCGACGGTTGTTAAAATACGCACATGCCGTAATTTTTATTATATATTTCCGCGCATGACGCAATATTGACTATAATAATAATCACAATATCAATAACAATAATCATATGTGTTCTAAGGAACTTTTTCAGAGAGAAAATCGGCAAATCAAGCTTCGATATCGTGGTTCGGTGGTCTAGGGGTATGATTCTCGCTTAGGGTGCGAGAGGTCCCGGGTTCAAATCCCGGCCGAGCCCAGTTTTGGAAGATTCATTTATGAACATTTCGCATTTGCAAAGATTAATTTGAATTTTGTTCGTCATTTTCATAAACTTTTAATCATTTTTCTCGTTATAAGTTAACGAAAAAATTCACTTCAAAATTTAGTATTGATTTAACTAAATATTTTGCGTGCGCACATTTCATTTCTATAATTTCTTGATTTTTCCTTATGACAGAAGTATATTTCTATTTTGCACTATTTATGTAATAATGAATTAATTTATTTTTATATTAATTCTTCAATTATTTTAAAATGATATATATATTTATATATCTGTGTATATGCTTATATGTATACCTGAAATATTGTGCTGGATTAAAAGAATTTGCACTATTCTGAAAATCTAGTGAAATTTGATTTTAATCAAATTAGGTACGAATACACACTTATAAACGAGAAAGTGATGTACCGCTTCAAAGTTATTTTTTAAGCGCATGATTTTCAGTAAAGTTCATAATGCAGAGCTGTCCAAGACCAACCTTATTATATATCTGAAAACGATTTTAAGATGTGTATAGTCCTGTCTGACAATCGGATAGGTAGGGCAGCGTAACTCCATATTGGAAAGGAAGTAACCACTCCTGCTGCAAGGCACTTTTGAACTTCGAGATCGTCATCGGTGGGAATGGCGAGATGAAACCGCCCTCCTAACAGCATTCCATTCCAGACATGCTGCGTAATGTTGAGAAGATCTAGATGGCCATTCGATATTCCGAATATCTTTACCACCAACTAATCGTCGACCAGCTGAGCGCTATGTGGCAGACGTTGTTGTACATTAACTAGGAGCCCAGCTCGAATATGAAGTGCTCACCTGAAAAGTTCAACATAGGACACAAAGATGTCTTATACCTCGTAGAAGGCAAGATGCTTTTGTCAAACTCATGCAGGAAGCCTTCCCCAAACCATTACACCTCCACCGCCGTAATGATCATTTCCCTTCAAGAGGGAGAGATCGTACCGTGTTCTAAGTACTCTCCAGACACAGGTACGTCGAGAATCCAGGCTGAATCTCGACACATCTGTAAAAAAGATGGTGTTCCACTGGAAGTTGTTCCAAGGTGCGTGATCGTTACACCATGCTGAACGCCCTTCATTGTGCGCTGCAGAGATCGTGAACGCGAACGGCGGGTCTTTGGACAGACAGCTCTGACTTCTGGAGTCGTCGGGACACTATACACGGTGAAGCTCGGGTTCCATTGGCCGCATACAGCCAACGTAAGAGCTGTAAAGTTGTAGGAGTCCCGTGTCGCCGCGCTGAAAGTGACAAACAACGGTCCTCTTTCGTAGTTGTGGATCTTGGTCTACTTATTCAAATTCTTCTCGATATAGATCTAAATTCCCGAAATCGATTTCACAAACTGCATACGACTTTGGCAATTTATTGGGATCTGTAGCCATATGCCCTGTGATTTTGCTGCTTCCAATCTATTGATTATTCTCCATCTATTCATTTCATCCATACTTTCGTGGCTACTCATTTCACCTGATACATCATAAAATTTACGCAACCTTTGCGAGAAACACAGCGAGTGCCATGAAGGAGTAGGAGCACACAAGTCGCCGAAAACAACCTTGTCCGCTTACAGCCCCGAAGACCAACACTTGTACACTTACGTATTCGACTCTTAATATTTACATAATTCTTCGATGTCATAATTATTGCCTTTGTTTCAATACTTCTCGTAAAAATAGTCATAATTTGCAAATTCTTTTAATTTTGCACACGCGCGTATAAAATATTAATGTGTATATTCATGTACGCTCATATTAATATTAAATTAAAAAGTATTTTTGCAGTCGGTATATTATAAATCATAGGCTACTAGAAACTTAGTTTAGTAGAATATAATAATTTTGGCTTCATGCTTTGGGAGAGCAAAATCTTTTGAATAATTCGTACTCTCAGAGAGGAGCAACGTAATTTGGTGTTATCGGACATACGCTAAAGATCTTATGCTTCATCCTCAGGCAAAAAAGTACTCTCGATGTTCCCGATCTTTATTTGTAAACACAAAGCATTGTGACTTACTGAATTCAGTATCATCTGTTCGAATCTCTTGCATTAAAAATATGAATAGCGGTTTGAGATGTAGTTTGCATTTAATATTTGTTTTAAAATTTAGCTGAAATCGAAAGTTCTACTTCTCGATTGCGAAAACTAATTATTACTCTACTTTGAGAGATAAAAATCATAGCATTGATATATGGAATTTTTGTTCAATAATCATCTGCTTGTGTAAATAGTTAACAAGCGCTTATTCAATAATCCTAAAACAAATTACTATGCTACTAACTGTATCTGAAAGTAATTTTGTTATGAAAGAAAGCTCAGGAAATGATCTGTGCTTTGGAAATTATTCATCTTCGCCGCCGTTGTCTGGCATTTCAGCCAAACTTTAATCAGTTCAATAATTTCAAAATAGCTTAGCACGGCTCGATGGTCTAGGGGTATGATTCTCGCTTTGGGTGCGAGAGGTCCCGGGTTCAAATCCCGGTCGTCGAGCCCATGCTTTTTTTAATTTTATCTCTGAGACTGAAATAGTTTTTTGGCTTTCATTTGGTTATTATAAAATACACTTCAAAGAGTACGAGGGATGTGTAAGGATGCCTTCGGGGAGTATTTTACTTTGTATACCTATGAAGATAGGTGTTAGAGCACGCGATAATAGAGTATTCATGCTTTATAAAGGGAGTCGTGGAGAAAAAATGAAAGCCATGGACTCTATATTTAATAAAAGGTCGTTCGGATATGCAATTAACAACGAGGCATATTTGCCTGAATGAAAATGGTAGTTACGTGAATTAGGGATGTTTTTAAAAAATGAAACGAAGATTTATATTATAGAGGACGTGTTTATTGCTTCTCAATCTCTGAAATTTTCAATCAGAAAGCAGGCTGATTAATTTTGAAATATAAGTCAAAGATCTTATATTTTGCAAAAGAGCAACACACTCATATCCGGCTATGTAAGAATGCGTTTGAAAAACAAATGAAAAGAATTTTATTTCGCTCCATGGCAATGCATAGCTATTTAATCGCTAATTTCAGCTAAAATTAGCTCGATGATAAGAGATTCATTAAATCTGAAAGTTAAATAAGAGACTCTATGTTTTGGTAAGTTGCTACACTGCGCGAATGTGCTGTGTGCAAATGCACTCGAATGTTGAATGGAAGCCGTTATGTTTCCTGCAGTAGTAGTAGCGGTTGTTAAACGGCGACGCTAAAGTAGTAGTAGCGGTTGTTAAACGGCGACGGTTGTTAAAATACGCACATGCCGTAATTTTTATTATATATTTCCGCGCATGACGCAATATTGACTATAATAATAATCACAATATCAATAACAATAATCATATGTGTTCTAAGGAACATTTTCAGAGAGAAAATCGGCAAATCAAGCTTCGATATCGTGGTTCGGTGGTCTAGGGGTATGATTCTCGCTTAGGGTGCGAGAGGTCCCGGGTTCAAATCCCGGCCGAGCCCAGTTTTGGAAGATTCATTTATGAACATTTCGCATTTGCAAAGATTAATTTGAATTTTGTTCGTCATTTTCATAAACTTTTAATCATTTTTCTCGTTATAAGTTAACGAAAAAATTCACTTCAAAATTTAGTATTGATTTAACTAAATATTTTGCGTGCGCACATTTCATTTCTATAATTTCTTGATTTTTCCTTATGACAGAAGTATATTCTATTTTGCACTATTTATGTAATAATGAATTAATTTATTTTTATATTAATTCTTCAATTATTTTAAAATGATATATATATTTATATATCTGTGTATATGCTTATATGTATACCTGAAATATTGTGCTGGATTAAAAGAATTTGCACTATTCTGAAAATCTAGTGAAATTTGATTTTAATCAAATTAGGTACGAATACACACTTATAAACGAGAAAGTGATGTACCGCTTCAAAGTTATTTTTTAAGCGCATGATTTTCAGTAAAGTTCATAATGCAGAGCTGTCCAAGACCAACCTTATTATATATATCTGAAAACGATTTTAAGATGTGTATAGTCCTGTCTGACAATCGGATAGGTAGGGCAGCGTAACTCCATATTGGAAAGGAAGTAACCACTCCTGCTGCAAGGCACTTTTGAACTTCGAGATCGTCATCGGTGGGAATGGCGAGATGAAACCGCCCTCCTAACAGCATTCCAGACATGCTGCGTAATGTTGAGAAGATCTAGATGGCCATTCGATATTCCGAATATCTTTACCACCAACTAATCGTCGACCAGCTGAGCGCTATGTGGCAGACGTTGTTGTACATTAACTAGGAGCCCAGCTCGAATATGAAGTGCTGACCTGAAAAATTCAACATAGGACACAAAGATGTCTTATACCTCGTAGAAGGTAAGATCCTTTTGTCAAACTCATGCAGGAATGCGCGGTAGTCCAACTTAATGTCTCCCCAAACCATTACTTCTCCACCGCCGTAATGATCATTTCCCTTCAAGAGGGAGAGATCGTACCGTGTTCTAAGTACTCTCCAGACACAGGTACGTCGAGAATCCAGGCTGAATCTCGACACATCTGTAAAAAAGATGGTGTTCCACTGGAAGTTGTTCCAAGGTGCGTGATCGTTACACCATGCTGAACGCCCTTCATTGTGCGCTGCAGAGATCGTGAACGCGAACGGCGGGTCTTTGGACAGACAGCTCTGACTTCTGGAGTCGTCGGGACACTATACACGGTGAAGCTCGGGTTCCATTGGCCGCATACAGCCAACGTAAGAGCTGTAAAGTTGTAGGAGTCCCGTGTCGCCGCGCTGAAAGTGACAAACAACGGTCCTCTTTCGTAGTTGTGGATCTTGGTCTACTTATTCAAATTCTTCTCGATATAGATCTAAATTCCCGAAATCGATTTCACAAACTGCATACGACTTTGGCAATTTATTGGGATCTGTAGCCATATGCCCTGTGATTTTGCTGCTTCCAATCTATTGATTATTCTCCATCTATTCATTTCATCCATACTTTCGTGGCTACTCATTTCACCTGATACATCATAAAATTTACGCAACCTTTGCGAGAAACACAGCGAGTGCCATGAAGGAGTAGGAGCACACAAGTCGCCGAAAACAACCTTGTCCGCTTACAGCCCCGAAGACCAACACTTGTACACTTACGTATTCGACTCTTAATATTTACATAATTCTTCGATGTCATAATTATTGCCTTTGTTTCAATACTTCTCGTAAAAATAGTCATAATTTGCAAATTCTTTTAATTTTGCACACGCGCGTATAAAATATTAATGTGTATATTCATGTACGCTCATATTAATATTAAATTAAAAAGTATTTTTGCAGTCGGTATATTATAAATCATAGGCTACTAGAAACTTAGTTTAGTAGAATATAATAATTTTGGCTTCATGCTTTGGGAGAGCAAAATCTTTTGAATAATTCGTACTCTCAGAGAGGAGCAACGTAATTTGGTGTTATCGGACATACGCTAAAGATCTTATGCTTCATCCTCAGGCAAAAAAGTACTCTCGATGTTCCCGATCTTTATTTGTAAACACAAAGCATTGTGACTTACTGAATTCAGTATCATCTGTTCGAATCTCTTGCATTAAAAATATGAATAGCGGTTTGAGATGTAGTTTGCATTTAATATTTGTTTTAAAATTTAGCTGAAATCGAAAGTTCTACTTCTCGATTGCGAAAACTAATTATTACTCTACTTTGAGATAAAAATCATAGC